GTCTTGAATCCGCCAAAAGATGAAACCCAACCACCGAAAGAGTCTGGAGTTCAACCGTTTCCAGACGGTTTGGACTGAAACCTGGGTATAACTTTTTCGTCTGGCTGCCTGTCTATTGTCATTAATTTTTAAACAGTTAATTAAGTTAGATTTCCCGCAGACTGCTCGTCCTGAGGCCAGCAGGTAATCTCATGCTAGGCTGTTTGGATAGACTGCATTTCTCGTTTGTGTACACTGTACGGCTAACAAATCTAAAGCTCTAGATCTTTCACTAGTCATCATTTCTAATACTGCTTGTAATCTGATGATACGATGATATAGATGGGAGTACCATATCCCCATAGCTAATCTTGTGCCCAAGTAGCTCTACCATACTTATTCTCTCTGAAGGCCAATCTACTTCAAATGCTGGCCAGTCTATTTGACACCAAGTTCTAGGTTTCCCTGTGTCATCATGACACCCTAATTTTCACTGAATATTTTTAATTCTTTTTTAACATGGCCCCTAATGGAGTGGGTTCAGTCCGCATCTTACCAATCTCCCTGTTAGGATGAAAGCAGCACTCAAAAGGTAAAAAGGGGTTGCACACTGGCTTTGCCCGTTACTGAAGCTTGGGGCTCAGCACTTTACCCCGGTTTTCTGCCTGTTACTGGTACGGTACACATTCTCTCCCCAGTTGGGCCCTGCCACACTCACAATTACACACCTCGAAACAACCAAGTCAAGAACAGAGGCAAGATTGCTAGTACCCCATAGAGACTGAAACCAGTTAGAGAGAAAGGAAATCAAAGCCAGAGTGCGGAGGCTGACACAGCGTGGGCGATCAGGCCAGCTTCCACCCACAGGGGGTGGGCAAGTTTCCAGGATCAGTCCTACCGTGTTTCTGCTGTGCGGACCTTCCAAGTACCCGTTCCTTCTCGGTGTTCGGCCACTGGGTGGATCCGCACAGCGGGGCTTTCCACCAGGCCAGTACCCGCCCAGGCGCCCTCTCAGGATTGTGTCACCCGAGCAAGTGGGAGCCCCCCACAGGGATGCTCCGAAGGGTTAGGCAGACCACCCAAAAGGCTGTGCCGGCCGTCTGCCAACTGCAACTCGCTTCCTGGTCAGGGAACCAAATGAAGCAAGAAGGCGGCAAGAAACAGACCTCTCCAACACCGAACTGGGAAGGGGTGATGTATTCGGCCGGGAGCGAGGCGCCATCGTTGCCTAAGAGCCAAGCTCGTCTAAGGAAGGACATCCCTGCCTTTATATGGGCTTACAGCTCTAGACATTACATGCGAAAGGGTATTGGGTTTACAGTTTTAGAAAGTACATGTGAGGGGATGGTGATAAATGAAGTACGCGTGAGGGTTTGAGCAACATTGAATGGGAACATGAGGGCGTTTCTCCATGTCGCCCCATCTTTAAGATCACCTGAGATCTTAAGGATTGGGGGGCCTTAATCTTTAACCTCTAGGCCCCTGATCTCATGCCTGGTGTGTCTCAACTTTACTTCCTCTTTTGAGACAAGAGATAGGAAGAGGTTTCTTTTCTCAAGCCCACTCACTCAGTTCCTAAGATCTAACTGGGAAGCTGCTGATAACCAGCTTCAGGTGTTTTCTATCTATTGGGAGATTGCCTTTCCCTGGTGCCAGCTGTGACTAGTTGTTATTTTTATTTATTTGTTTATTTATTTTGAGACGGAGTTTCCCTCCCAGACTGGAGTGCAATGGCGCGATCTCGGCTCACGGCAACCTCCGCCTCCTGGGTTCAAGCAATTCTCCTGCCTCAGCCTCCCGAGTAGCTGGGATTACAGGCGCGCACCATCATGCCTGGCTAATTTTTGTATTTTTAGTAGAGACGGGGTTTCACCGTGTTGACCAGGATGGTCTCGGTCTCTTGACCTCGTGATCCGCCGGACTCTCCCAAAGTGCTGGGATTATAGGTGTGAGCCACCGCGCCCGGCCGACTAGATGTTATTTTAAAGAGACAGTTTAATTAACAACTGCCTGATAGGGAGAGCCCATTTGCCTACCCACCTACTCTAACAGTCTAATTTAAAGAAGTTAAGGCTTCATTGTCCAACAGGGTAGTCACCAGCCACATGTGGCTCTTGGATACATGAAATGTGGCTAGTGACACATACTGAAATGATAATATTTAAAATATATTGAATTAAAGTATATATATGTTTTTTAATTTAAGATCCCATGTAAGCTAGACGTTTGTAAAGAAATTTTTCAAGGAAGAGTGTTATACAGGCTGGTTAAACCCCCATTTCTCACAAATTTCCTTAACCAGGTTGCATAGTCTTGTACAGTGCCATGATTTAATGGCTGCCATTCATGCCATTTCCTCTCTGAGACACTGTTTTTTAACTTGGGATGTCCAGATTGGAACTCCTCTGCCCCTCTCCAGATGAGGAGCAGACAAGGGGAAAGGCTAGGATTTCAAGGCACAGGAGGAAGAAGAACAGAGCAGGGTAGGACAACTGGCCAACCACATGTGTCTGCAGAAAAGGATTTACTTTAGCTCAATGCCCTTTCAATGTTCTGTACTGGGTCCAAAGACAAAGTTTATTTTATTTTATTTTTTTCTGAGACAGAGTCTCGCTCTATCCTCTAGGCTGGAGTGCAGTGGCCGGATCTCCGCCCACTGCAACCTCCTCCTCCCAGGAGCAAGCAATTCTCCTGCCTCAGCCTCCCAAGTAGCTGGGACTACCGGTACACACCCTCACGCCCAGCTAATTTTCTTTTCTTTTTTTTATTTTAGTAGAGACAAGTTTCACTATGTTGCCCAAGCTGGTCTCAAACTCCTGAGCTCAGGCAATCTGCCCATCTCGGCCTCCCAAAGTGCTAGGATTACAGGCCTGAGCCACTGTGCTCAGCTGGCAAAAGTTTATGTAACCTAAAAAGTTTGAGCTGACCAATGGGCTAGAAAGATGAAAGGGGGCAGTGGGCCCCCCTCTTTTTTTTTTTTTTTTGACACTCCATCTCAAAAAAAAAAAAAAGGATGAACAGCTGTCTTACATGCCTTCATGAGTGTGTGCTCACTCAAAATGAGTGGAACTACAATGCCCCCACTAGATTTTTTTTCTCTTTCTGGTTATCTGGGGAAGGAGGCCTGGGGAGGATGCTGGTAATGACAATATACTTCTTGCCAAGGGAGTGATACACTAGTATAATGACTATAATTTTTTCTTTCTTCGCCAAATTGTAACCACCCCGTGAGTTCACCTTGCCTGCTGCCTAGACAGAGCTGCTTTATCAAGACAGGGGAATTGCAATAGAGAAAGTGCAGTTCACGCAGACCCGGCTGTGTGGGAGGGCAGTTTTATTATTCTCATCAGTCCTCCAAGCATTCGGGGAGCAGAGTTTTTAAGCACAACTTGGTGGGTGGGGAGAAGCCAGTAAGCCAGGAGTGCTAATTGATAAGAGATGAAATCATGGGGAATTGAAGCTGTCCTCTTGCACTGGGTCTGTTCCTGGGTGGGGAGCACAGATCAGATGAGCCAGTTAGTCAACCTGGGTGGTGCCAGCTGATCCATCAAGTGCAGGGTCTGCAGAATATCTCAGGCCCTGATTAGGGGCAGCTTAGGAAAGGTCAGACTCTTGGGGCCTCCAGCTACATGACTCCTAAACCATCATTTCTAATCTTGTGGCTGATGCTAATAGTCTAGTCCCCAGGGAAGAAGGCTGGTTTTTGGGAAAGGGCTGTTACCATCTTTGTCTTAAACTATAACCTATAAACTAAGGTCCTCCCAAAGTTAGTTCAGCCTGTGCCCAGGAATGAACAAGGAGAGCTTGGAGGTTAGAAGCAAGGTGGAGCTGGTTAGGTTAGAGCTCTTTCACTGTCTGTTATAATTTTGCAAAGGCAGTTTCAAAATCACCTCAGTTTTTTTTCTCTCTGCTACCTAATACAGTGATCCTAGGGACCAGGGTTGTAACTACAAGTGCTGGAAGCAGGAATGAATTCTAAGCAAGAAACTGTCGCTACGTTTTTAAACTTTGTCAGAATTCCTAAGGGCCTGATGAAGAGGTGGTTGTGCCTTCACCCCATCTAGAAAAACTGGGATTAAGAATAAATACAGACCGAGAACAGTGGCTCACGCCTGTAATCCCAGCACTTTGGGAGGCTGAGGCGGGTGGATCACCTGAGGTCAGGAGTTTGAGACCAGCCTGACCAATATGGTGAAATCTCATCTCTACTAAAAATACAAAACCTGGCTGGGCATGGTGGCGAGGACCTGTAGTCCCAGCTACTTGGGAGGCTGAGGTTGCAGTGGGCCGAGATCATGTCACTGCACTCCTGCCTGGGTGACAGAGCAAAACTCCATCTTAAATTTAAAAAAAAAAAAGGAAAAAGGCAGTTCCCCAACTGCCCCCCCCCCCCCGCCCCCGGAAAAGGAAGTTTTAATTGGTTGCAGAAAATGAAAGCTTCCTTCGTTCAAGAAAGTAAAAAACACTGTGGTATTCAGAACTGGACAATGTTTATTTCTGCAAATGATCTGTGAGCTTGCTCTGAATTCCCCTGAATCCCAGCATAGTCCCTAAATAGAGAGGCTTGCCTCACCCCACAGAGGATATGACTCTGAAAAATTAATATGAAGAAATACTGAATATATCAAGTCATTCAAAATCCACGAGGCGGCCAGACACGGTGGCTCATGCCTGTAATCCCAGCGCTTTGGGAGGCTGAAGTGGGTGGATCACTTGAGGTCAGTTCAAGACCAGCCTGGCCAACATGGTGAAACCCTGTCTCTACTAAAAATACAAAAATTAGCTGGGCATGGTGGCACGTGCCTGTAGTCCAGGCAGGAGAATTGCTAAACCTGGGAGACAGAGGTTGCAGGGAACTGAGATGGCGCCATTGCACTCTAGCCTGGGTGACAGAGCAAGACTCTGTCTCAAAAAAAAAAAAAAAAAAAAAAAAATCCACAAGGGATTTGAAGGATGGTTTTACTGGAAAAAATAATCCACAAGGGGAACTGGTTAATCAAAGAAACCACATAGTTGATGTATTTCCATGAATTCAAAGCCTTTTAATAATGTGAACACTTACTCCCCATTTATTTCTTACATTTTTACAAAAAATTTACAGTTTTCTTAAAGTGGCATTTTGTTGATTATAGTGATGATACATATTAACACTTTGTATTGAAGAAGTATCATAAAAATCACTTGGCATTATAAAGTTTTGATAAGGAGTAATATTATCCTCTTTTAACAACTAGAGGCTCCCAGGCATACTCTTTGGTGAGAAATTATTAATTTTGTATTTTCATTTTGACAGTAATCTTTTCTGGTTTTTAACCAGTTATAAAAACAAAAGCTTTTTCTTTGTTGTGAAAATGTACAGTAAGACTCAGTTTCTTGAGCTGACGCTAAATAAGATGAGAGCAATAGGAACGTTCTAGGAGGTCATGTTTAGTTTTTAGAAAGGATGGCGTCCACATATATATGGATGAGAAATCTTGGAGTGTATGATCTGGGACTGAAACTGTGGAATACATATCCAGTGTGAAGCTCTGAGCACAGAGGGAGTTTGCTCCGGGACCTGGAATGAGTGATGGAGAAATGTTTTTAAAAAATAAATAGGCCAAGCACAGTGGCTCACATCTGTAATCCTAGCACTTTGTGATGCTGAGGTGGGCAGATCGCTTGAGCTCAGGAGTTTGAGACTAGCCTGGACACCATGGCAAAACCCCATCTCTCTATAAAAACAAAACAGGGCAGGCATGCTGGCTCACACCTGTAATCCCAGCACTTTGGGAGGTCGAGGCGGGTGGATCACTTGAGGTTAGGAGTTCAACACCAGCCCCAGCAACATGGTGAAAACCCATCTCTACTAAAAATATAAAACCTAGCTGGGTGTGGGGGCACATGCTTGTAATCCCAGCTACGCGAGAGGCTGGCGCACAAGAATCGCTTGAACCCAGGAGGCAGAGGTTGCAGTGAACTGGGCAACAGAGCAAGACTGTGTCTCAAACAAGAAGCAAAACAACTGCAGAGGGTTCCTAGGTTTGCTGCACTCCAGTTTAATGCTCATATCTCAGGGCTCTTCAAGGGCCGACCCACCCATTTTCTGCCACGTGCAGTCAGCCCCCAGGCCTCATCTGTACTGAAAGGCCTGTGGACAATGACTGTCTCAGCAGAAAAGGACTCAAAGCCTCTGACATACGCCAGACCCACTGTGAGCCGCCCCTGTTCCGGACCACCAAGCCCAGACTGGACAGCCTGCTTTCCCACCCTGGCTGCTGCTGGGTCTCTCCCCCATCCTGCTTTCCCACTGGTGCCTCTAACACCTCAGTGTGGGGTCCACACCTCATCTCCCCAACATGAGCAGGTATTGGTCCTCAAACACAGAAGCACACTCTTAGCTTGGGTTCTGCTCTATTTCGGTATTTCTACTTTTGAACTTTGTTGAGTGTTCCCTTCTGAAATCTAACCACTGGATCCAACCCAGGGGTGTAGAGTGTCCACTCTGAGTCTGCTATTTCCCCAAGTGTCCCCTCAGCAGGCAGCAGGCTCTGCCTTATCCTGGCGGGGCAGAGGTGCACCATCTTCTCCAGCTACAAGGCAGCGGAGTGTGTCTCCGGGAGGTTCTCCTCCAGCTTCAGCCCCAGGTTGTCAATCCCGATGCTGGTGACCGGAGGCACACTGCTTTCAGCTGGCTCGGCCGTGCGCGTCGGGGTGGAGCAGTATAGGATGAACCCCCCCATGATGACGGTGAAGGACAGGATGTAGAGTCCTGAGAACTAGGAAAAGAGAAGAACAGGCGGTGAATTGTGCCTCACACACACCTCTGCTGCTGCTTCTGCAACTGTGCTTTGAGGGTCACCTTCTCATAATCATTTGCTGGCTTCCTTCTTCCCTCCCTCCCTCCCTCCCTCCCTCTCCTCCTCTCATTTCCTTTCCTTTCCTTTTTCCTTCCCTTTCCCCTTCCCTTCCCTTCCTTTCCGCTTTCCCTCCCCTTCCCTTTTCCCTTCCCTTTTTCCTTCCCTTCCCTTTCCCCTTTCCCTTCCAACAGGATCTCACTCTGTGGCCCAGGCTGAAATACAGTAGTGCAATCTCACCTCACTGCAACCACCACCTCCCAGGCTCCAGCAATCCTCCCATCTCAGCCCCCAGATCAGCTTAGACCACAGGCGCTCATCATCACACCTGGCTAATTTTTGTGTTTTTTGTAGAGACAGGGTTTCTCCATATTGCCCAGCTGGTCTTGAAAACTTGAGCTCAAGCAATCTGCCCGCCGCAGGCTCCCAAAGTCCAGGGGCTTCATGCCTGGCCTCATGATCTTTTTTCTGAAAGTTGCCTAAGGAGATGGTAATGCACAAAACCCTCCCACATATGCTGCTGAATGCTGGGACTGCCAACAGCACTGGCACACCAGCCACCTAGATCCTTGGATCTTTAGGAGAAATGGAACCTTTGCTTGTCTCTGTCATAATCCAGCTATACCCCACTCTGCATAGTCCCACTTAGTGGAGAAAATGGTGGTCATCATGGATACCACAAGAGAGCCCCATTCAGACCCTAGACACAGTTTACATTATTGGTGCGAAACAGAGGAACACAAGACTGCGATGTAACATGGAAGGTCAGGAGTGGCATCTGGTCAGCAGCCTCCCAATGTGTGCTATTCAGTGAAATTCATTTTGCTAAAATTTAATACATTATCTTGTCTCTGCAGGCAAGTATTACATGGTAAAATTTATGGTGGACTGAGCAGATTCAGAATATTAGAGCTAGAAAAAGCCTAGATATCAGAAGAATCCAAAGCCCAAAGGGGTGACTGGTGTAAGATCCATTGAGGACCGTCATAGGGAACAGAGGCTATCTCATACACTGTCTGCCCCAGAAGGACCAGATAGAGCAGAAGCCCATTCTGACAGACATTCCACAAGTATGGATGGACTTTTTGGTAACTTTCCCCAAACCTCCTTCCCTTCCCCTTCTTTTTTTTTTTTTTGAGACTGAGTTTCACTCTTGTTACCCAGGCTGGAGTGCAATGGCACGATCTCGGCTCACCGCAACCTCCACCTCCTGGGTTCAGGCAATTCTCCTCCCTCAGCCTCCTGAGTAGCTGGGATTACAGGCACATGCCACCATGCCCAGCTAATTTTTTGTATTTTTAGTAGAGATAGGATTTCACCATGTTGACCAGGATGGTCTGGATCTCTTGACCTCGTGATCCACCCACCTCGGCCTCCCAAAGTGCTGGGATTACAGGCATGAGCCACCGTGCCTGGCCCCGCTTCCCCTTCTTAATACTGAAAATCACCACCCAGAGCAAAATGCAATGAGGACAGAACACTATACACACACACACACACACACACACACATATATATATATATATGGAAAAATGTCATACCCCAAAGTCTAAATTTCATGAAGAAATTTGTATATGTGCTCTTATTTGCGTTGGAAATCCATACAAAAGTTGAAGTATTAAATGAGTATGTATTTTTAGCAACATGATAAGGGCACAGAAAGAGAATGGCTAAAGACTGACCAAGCGTGGTGTATTTTAAAAATTAGAGAAACTAGGCCGGGCGCGGCAGCTCACACCTGTAATCCCAGCACTCAGAGGCAGAGGCAAGTGGATCACCTGAGGTCAAGGGTTCGAGACCAGCCTGGCCAACATGGTGAAATCTCGTCTATACTAAAAATATAAAAACTAGACAGGCATGGTGGTGGGCACCTGTAATACCAGCCACATGGGAGGTGAAGGCAGGAGAATCACTGGAACCCAGGAGGTGGAGGCTGCAGTGAGCCGAGATTACGCCATTGTACTCCAGCCTAAGCAACAGAGCAAAAACTCTGACTCAAAAAAAGAAAGAAAAGGGAGGTCGGGCACAGTGGCTCACACCTATAATCCCAGCACTTTGGGAGGCCAAGGCGGGTGGATCATGAGGTCAAGAGATCGAGACCATCCTGGTCAACATGGTGAAACCCCGTCTCTATTAAAAATACAAAAAAAAAAAAAAAAATTAGCTGGGCACGGTGGCGTGTGCCTGTAATCCCAGCTTCTCAGGAGGCTGAGGCAGGAGAATTGCCTGAACCCAGGAGGCAGAGGTTGCGGTGAGCTGAGATCACACCATTGCACTCCAGCCTGAGTAACAAGAGCGTAACTCCGTCTCGAAAAAAGAAAAGAAAAGAACTTGTAAAGTGCTAGGTATCTTCATTATCCTCTGAGTTTTTTCTACCTCTGTAATTTACTCTTTAGATTTCAGAAGACCTGCTCTTTACTCCGTAAGTCTTGAAACGACCTTTGACCAAAAACAATAAAAATCTGATCTAAGAATGAACTATTAGACGTGCAGGGACAAAGAAACACAAAAGAACTGGAAAGGAATTTATCAACTGCATGCTCTGATTCTGCGAATAGCAGTTTAAAGTTATGTGGCTGAAAAAATGATATAAAAGGGGATTTTTCATTTTAAAGTTAAAAGCAGTTACAGCCAGCCAGCCAACTAGCCTGGAATTGCTATATGGAAACAGCAGCACCCCTAGTGGTAGCTAGATGAAATGCAGCACAGAAAAACTGACTTTGTAGTACAATTTGGCTCTCAGAAAAAAATCTGGGCTCATCAGGATGACTTCTCTGATTCACCTTGACTTTTTCTTAATGATCTTACCAATAAGCTATGAATACTCCTTCAGTCTTAGTTCAGGAACACCTTAACCAGCAAGTTTGAAAAGATAACAGCTGGTTCCTTCACATGTAACCTTGCAAAGCAAAAAAGTTTATACTCTTTAAGCAGAAATTTCTGAGAACCCACTGAGCTTAATGTAGCAGTAACTCAGCTAAGTATTGTAAGTTCATGGCCAATATCTGGGAATAGCATAAATAAGGATTTGTTTGGATATAAAATTTTACAAGGACAAAGAAATATAGTTGATTGCCCATACTGAAACTAAAATTATCAGGTAACAGCCAACATCCTATCTGCTCAAATGACTGTCAGGAAAACAGGACTCCTTTACTGAAGGCATGCTGAGAAAAGACAGATCTCTTTTCTCTTTTTTCTTTTTCTTTTTCTTTTTTTTTGGAGACAGGGTCTAACTGGGCCAGCCAGGCTGGAGTGCCGTGGTGTGATCAGATCATGGCTCACTGTTGCCTTGACCTCCCTGTGCCCAAGTGATCCTCCACTTCAGCCTCTCTCTGGAGTAGCTGGAACTACAGGTGCACATTACCATGTCTGGCTGATTTTGTGTGTGTGTGTATTTTGTTGGAGAGATGGGGTTTTGCTGTGTTGTCCAGGCTGAAAAGAGAGATTTCTAAAGCAGGGGTGCTCAAAGTATAATCCAAAATCCTTGAGGGAACTCAAAACCCCAGGAGGAATCTATATAGTCAAAGCTATTGTTATTTTTTTTTTTAGACACAGTTTAGCTCTTGTTACACAGGCTGGAGTGCAATGGTGCAATCTCAGCTCACTGCAACCTCCGCCTCCTGAATAGCTGGGATTATAGGCATGTGCCACCACACCCAGCTAATTTTTGTATTTTTAGTAGAGATGGTGTTCCACCATGTTGGCCGGGACTGGTCTCGAACTCCTGACCTCAGGCGATCCACCCGCCTCAGTCTCCTAAAGTGCTGGGATTACAGGCATAAACCACCATGCCCAGCCCTCAAAACTATGATTACTATACTATAAATGCTATTTTCCCTTTTCACTTTCATCTTCCTACAAGTGCACAGTGAAATGTTCTACAGGCTACATGATGTGATATCACAAGGCAGAAGAAGCAGATGTGAGAATCCAGCTGTTTTCTAGTAAGCCACACAATAAAGAGATTTTTAAAAAATATAAATCAATGACACTCTTCTCACCATTTTTTTAAAAAGTTTTTCATAAAATTATGTTAACGTATGATGAATTACTTTCTTAATGAGTTAATTTTTTTATTTCTCAATTTTCATTTATAATATGATAAATAATAGGTATAAATCACTGAGGTTCCCAATTTTTAATCAAGGGGTTTAAGATTTTTAAAAGAATGGGCCACGTGCAGTGGTTCATGCCTGTAATCCCAGCACTTTTGGAGGCGGAGGCAGAGGCGGGTGGATCACCTGAGGTTAGAAGTTCGAAACCAGACTGGCCAACATGGTGAAATCTTATATCTACTAAAAATACAAAAAATTAGCTGGGTGTGGTGGCACAGACCTGTAATTCCAGCTACTTGAGAGGCTGAGGCAGAAGAATTGCTTAAACCTGGGAGACAGAGGTTGCAGTGAGCTGAGATCATGCCATTGCACTCCAGCCTGGGCAACAAGAGTGAAACTCTGTCTCAAAAAAAAAGAACTGCTAAACTGCTGCCCTAGGAATTTTCAAATTAGCTGTGAGGTTGAAAAAAAAATCTAATTGATTCTCTATGATAATGAGACTTTAACATGATGCAATCATAGGCTTCAGATTTATCTTCATAATGAAATTAAGGTGGAAAGTGCAGTGGCAAGAAGATTGAAGAACAATGACAAATGGCTGGGCGCAGTGACTCACGCCTGTAATCCCAGCACTTTGGGAGGCTAAGGCAGGCGGAGCACCTGAGGTCAGAAGTTTGAGACCAGCCTGACCAACATGGAGAAACCCCGTCTCTACTAAAAATACAAATTAGCCCGGTGTGGTGGTGCATGCCTGTAATCCCAGCTACTCAGGAGGCTGAGGCAGGAGAATCGCTTGAACCCAGGAGGCAAAGATTGTGGTGAGCCAAGATCTCACCACTGTACTCCAGCCTGGGCAACAAGAGCAAAACTCTGTCTCAAAAAATATAAATAAAATGAATGGCTCAATCAGTAATTATCAAGGGAAGGTGTATCAGACTCTCTGAGGATGCTCTTTTGTTCAAATTCTGTATTTGTTCTCTTGCTTCCCCTGAAGACACTGATACATTCCCTGCTAACCCACCTGCCTTAAGAATTAGTACACGTAATAGGACCCACTGCTGATGGCAGCAGGTTACGCTTGTAAATGCCATGGTGATGTGGATAGATAAGGTCTGAAACACCCCTGGACTGAATTACCTTTAAGATATAAAATTACTGTCAAAGACGGAACCGTTCCAATCACACATGCATTACAAGCCGGCCACCTCTCTTCCCTTCCCATCGGGCACTCCAGACTTTTGCGTACCACGGCAAAAAGAGTGCGTGGAAAAGCACCTAGTGCTCGGGCTAAGTTACATTCTCCCTCAAGGTCAGCAGCAGCTCTGGGTCTGCTTGTTTATCACCTGGCAAGAGTGTTAACAATTTCATAAGCGAGTGCCCTGGGCCATACCATCAAAGATGAAATCCAGATATTTCACCCTTTAGAAAAACCCTAGGAGGGCAATTTATGTGAAGCACTTTTCTAAGTCAGAAGCAGGAAGGGAGGCCTGACCGGTGAAATTCTTACCAAGAGAATAAGAAGGTCTTATTTTCTTATCTAGCGACTTGAAGAAACTTGCTACATTTTTTGGATTCAAGCAAGTGTTCTTTAAACATGATCTATTTGTTTACCTTATAGCCAAACAGAAAGAGTCCAAAGAATAGGCTGTAGAGGTCCGCGGTCAGGATGCCCAGGTTGACGGAAGTGGCACTAGTGACTTTAATCACCAATGGCATGAAGCTGTACAGGCAAAACATACACAGGGCAAATGCCATGAACAGCAGGGCTGCGAAAAACAAGAAGGAATATCTAATATTAGGGCAAGAAATCAGAAGACAAAGGAGTTTGAGGCTTGGCTGCCATGTAAAACTCCCTAACCCGTTAACATATTATCTACAAAGCCCCTTGTTTGTTAACATTTGCCTTGCAAATGAGACCATAAAGCTCTCTGGGAAATATAATATTCATAGCAATCTGTGATGTAGATAAAGGACCTCAAAAATCCAACAAGGTATGAGATGGGCAAGGCCAGAAAATCCTGCTTATGGTGTGACTGAGTCCACAGCTCTTACACCCTCTGCTGTGCATCCTCCCAGGACAGAGACGCCTGTGATAAATGGCCAGTAAAGGCAGAATCAACAACTCGCGCCGAGAAAAATCATCTTTGCTTCTGTTTGGTTGGACGTGATTTATATAATCGGATTCAGAATAAAGTATCTTTAAAGACATCAAAGACGGTGATTAGGTCCACTGTATTTTGCTCATCTCATTAAATTAAATGCTCCAAGGAAGCACAATATAATTATCCTATTTAGGACAGTGCTCACGGTGTGGGTGTTCACTATGTTAGCTCTGCTTTGCAAACACTTTTTTTTTTTTTTTTTTTGAGATGGAGTTTCGCTCTTGTTGCCCAGGCTGGAGTGCAATGGTGCGATCTCGGCTCACTGCAACCTCCGCCTCCTGGGTTCAGGCAATTCTTCTGCCTCAGCCTCCCGAGTAGCTGGGATTATAGGCACGCACCACCGCGCCCAGCTAATTTTTTGTATTTTTAGTAGAGACGGGGTTTCACCATGTTGACCAGGATGGTCTCAATCTCTTGACCTCGTGATCCACCCTCCTCGGCCTCCCAAAGTGCTTGAGCCACCGCACCCAGCTGCAACCACTTCTTTAATCTCATCCCATGCTCAATTCTCTCTCTCTCTTCTCTCTCTGGCAATCTAAGTTATTTCGTTGAATTAAATTATCAAGCATGGTAGATAATCTTCAGTGACCCCTAGGTACTACTTAACTTCTCCACACCCCATCATTAAACCCGGTTCAAATCTTTTCTGACTGTCCTATCACCATTTTCTTTTCCTTTATTTATTTATGCAGATGCCTAGGAATATCAGATGACAGGAGCAGTGGGAGGTGGGGGAGATTCCACACCATCAACAATTCAGATCAGTGCTTCACAATTTCTATCAAGCAAACAAACTTCATGAGAAGTTTGAGGACCCAAGATACAGATCTAATTTGAAAGCTGGTTTGCGCTGGGGACAGTGGCACACTGTAATCCCAGCACTTTGGGAGGCCGAGGTAGGTCGATCACAAGGTCAGGAAATCGAGACTATCCTGGCAAATGTGGTGAAACCCCATGACTACTAAAAATACAAAAATTAGCTAGACGTGGTGGTGGGCACCTACAGTCCCAGCTACTCGGGAGGCTGAGGCAGGAGAATCGCTTGAACCCGGGAGGTGGAGGTTGCAGTGAGCCGAGATCACACCACCGCACTCCAGCCTTGGCGACAGAATGAGACTCCAACTCAAAAAAAAAGGAAAGCTGGTTTGACCAAAGGTCAATCTCCAGTCTTGTTCAGGATTCCTCGTAACCAAAGGCTATTCCTACAGGTAAAGATTAAGAATTAACTTTTATGGAAGTTTATCTACCAATATTCAGAGAAAACTCAATGTAAACCATTATAGCTGATATGTATTAAATCACTCTGAGATTTTACAAAGATGTCTAAATATTAAAATTATTATTAATGTATTATACATTTTTATAAATGTATGTTGTATTTTATATGCATTTTACAAATGCATATAAAAATGTACATATTCCTAGATGTTCATTTGTTAGATAAAGGAAAGAATGCTGACTAAAAGGAATTATGATTTCTTTACATACCAATTTTCCAGTCCCAGGGAATGCTGGCAATATCCTTATATTCCACAATCAATCTGAGATTAAAACAAGAGGTCACAGAGAGATCCACATACTAATTTTCACTATTTTATAAGCATTTTAGTTACTATACTTCAGCTAAAGTGAGGAATTATGTTGACTTCTGAATTTGTCTTAGAATATAAAAATAACTATCTTTAATAAACATGACAAAGAATAAAACCGAAGGAGCTCACACGGAGATGTTTGACTCCCTTACAGGTACTCTGTAGTAACAGTCAGTTATAGGAGGAAAAATATGATATTGTACCTTGTTTTTGAATAAGCTTAGGAAGCTAATGTGTTAATATTTTCTGGAAATAACTAAAAAATAAAACTCCTTACTGGTAAAAGCCTTTACCACATCGTTATCAGGAATCCATAAGCATCACACGTGTTTAGGAAAATAGGAGTAATTCTTGATGTCTTAACAATCCTCTAATAGATACTCAGTAAGTTACTAGGTAATGGCAAAACCACAATTACTCTTGCACCAACCTAATATTAATTTGAAATGTAAATATGGGCCAAATAAACAATGAATATTAATAGTTATCTTCTATAATAGATTTGTTTGTTTTGTCTAGAAAAACGTTTAGAATCTTACAGCTGTATGCCACTGATAATTGTTCCAAACAGGCCCACCATTCCTAAAAACTCCTGTCTGCTCAGCTTCTTCACGATGTATTCTTCACAAACGTTAGAAATGGCATAGAGGGAAGCCCCAAGAAGGACCAAGATGTCACCAATCAATACGTCATTCCCTGCAGGAAGACAAGGCACAGAAGCAAAACACTGTCAACAGGTGAACCCCTACAGCATGCCTCCAGGCGGTCATCTGACCCATGTTCATTTAAATCACTCTAAAGAAGAAACTGGTTACTAGAAGGTGTGTGTGTGTGTGTGCGCGTGCACGTGCGTTTGAGACAGTCTTGCTCTGTCACTCAGGCTGGAGTGCAGTGGCACGATCTTGGCTCACTGCAACCTCTGCCTCCCGGATTCAAGTGATTCTCTTGCCTCAGCCTCCTGAGCAGCTGGGATTACAGGCATGCACCACCACACCCAGCTAATTTTTGTATTTTTAGTAGAGAAGGGGTTTTGTCATGTTGGCCAGACTGGTCTAGAACTCCTGACCTCAAGTGATCTGCCTACCTTGGCCTCCCAAAGTACTGGGATTACAGGTGTTAGCCACTTTGCCTAGACTAATTTTTGTGTTTTTGGTAGAGATGGAGGTTTCACCGTGTTGGCCAGGATGGTCTTGAACTCCTGACCTCAGGTGATCCACCCACCTCAGCCTTCCAAAATGCTGGGATTATAGGTGTGAGCCACCCCACCCAGCCTGATTACTGGAAGTTTAAAATCTCTTACTTTTCTCACTTTCGGATGCAATTCTGCTGTGATTTTTTTTCATAATTTAACTCCTCAGAAGTCTAACAAGCTAGGAGATGATGGTATATATCATAATGTAAGGCCTCAGAAAATGATTCCATGACATGACAAATTAATGGAGTTCATTGAAGGGGAAGGTCAATTTGAAAAATGCGAACCTGCTTTCAAAGTAATTTTCTCTCTCAATCCAAGGAGACACTTAACTCACTTACAGATTAGGTGAATTCATAGACCTTAATTAGATTTTATACTCTCAATTGTAATTTTCTCTCTCAATCCAAGGAGACATTTAAGTCACTTGTATGTAGACTGGATGAATTCATAGATCTTAATTAGATTTTACACCATCAACTGAATTCAACCCAAGTATGGCCAAGATGCTGTCACCTACACCGTGACTTCAAAAGAAATACTCCAGTGAACGAGTTTCTTTTTTGATAAAACAAACATTGCTGAGATGCTACTTAGGAAAAATTTTTAAATTTTAAAAATTTTAAAAAAGATTCTGCAATAGGATAAAGGAGATAAAAAAGAAGAAAACAAAACAAAAAAAAAAAACAAGAATTGACAGTAGGTGTTCCAATAACCCATCTAAATACATGAGCCAAAAGATTATTGCAAGTATATGAAGACACTTTGCTGTCAAGAGACAAAGCTACTTAATGTGAGAAAAAGGAAGAAAAACTGTGGGCTGGTGGGAACATACAGATTGTTTTGTGTGGGGGTAGTTACAAAATACCAGATATAAGTAAATCTAAAAATACAATTGAAAATGTGGTTAACCAGGACATACTTTCTGCTTTTTACTATATCTTTGCAGAATAAACGTGAAAACATGAACAAAATCCTGCTGTGATTAAAGCACAAACATGAGACACCTTGTTACCTGAATTGTCTTCCCTCCCTGCGAGTATGTCTGCTCCAACCATGGTTCCTACACCCAACAGACAGACAGCCACAGCGATGAAGTGGATCACTCTGTATCTCGCATAAAGAATAAACCAGGACAGAGCCATCAGCACAGGAATCCCAAAGCAATCCAAAAGCTGCACGGAAAGAGAACAGTTTAAAACCTCCCTCATTAGCTAAAGATGGTAATGAAGAAATACTAGGACTCAGTAGTCATTGAGCATTTATTACTGGCAGCCCTCTACCAAGAGCTTTACCTGGATTCACTCGTTTGATCCTTACGACTCTATGAGATTGAAATTACAATCTAATTTTATACATGAAAACATGAAGGCAGAGAGGTGAAATGAGTTGCCAAAATCACATAGTTAAAAATGGGATGACAGCTGGGCATGGTGGCTCATGCCTGTAAAATCTCAGTACTTTAAGAGGTTGTGGCAGGCAGATTGCCTGAGCCTAGGAGTTCAAGATCAGCCTGGGCAACGTGGTGAAACTATCTCTACCAAAAAAAAAAAAATATATATATATATATATACATATATATATACACACACACACACACACACACACAATTGTTGGGTGTGGCGGTGCATGCCTGTAGTCCCAGCCACTGGGGAGACTAAGGCGAGAGGATAACTGGAGCCCAGGAGGTCAAGGCTACAGTGAGCTGTGATAATGCCACTACACTTCAGCCTTCACCACACAGAGAGACCCTGTCTCAAAATAAATAATAAAATACAATGGAAGAGTCAGTTGCTGAACATAAGACTGCCAAAGGCCTGTGCGCCTTACCTCTATGCTCCCACCTGTGTATATCTTTTTTATTTTATTTTTTGAGGGAGAGTTTCACTCTGTTGCCCAGGCTGGAGTGCACTGGTACAATCTCAACTCACCGTAACCTCCACCTCCCAGGTTCAAGCAACTCTCCCTGCCTCAGCCTCCTGAGTAGCTGGGATTACAGGCACCTGCCACCATGCCCAGCTAATTTTTGTATTTTTTAGTAGAGATGGGATTTCCTCATGTTAGCCAAGCTGGTCTTGAACTCCTAACCTAAAGTGATCCACCCACCTCGGCCTCCCAAAGTGCTGGGATTACAGGTGTGAGCCACCACGCCCGGCCCTGTGTGTATCTTTAAGTCCGGTAGACAAACATCTCTTCCTTCATGCAACCATTTACTCAGTCAACAAATATTTGTCAAACACCTTGCATGTGTGAGATGCCATGAAAGCAGCTTGGAATAGGGGTGAACAGGACAGAACCAGTGTGCCCTCAGGCCACACAAAGCTATAAAGGATGTGGAATAAATAATCACACAGCCAGATATTTCAGTGGAACTGGGCTAAGTGCTACAAAGAAGCACGGGTTACTATGAGTGCAAACAGACAGCACGCCCCTGACAAAGCGTCCAACCCCACCACGTGAGACACACTCATGCTCACAGCAGATTCTCTTGCTCGTCTTCATCACGTGCTCCTCCATCACCTGTTGATCCTGGGTCTGGAAAACACTGGCTATACCCCTGATACTGCTCATCCGGAAGGCAGAGGGATTAAGCATGCCAAAATTATAGCAGGTCCAAAATTGTTTGCAAGATAAAAAAAAAAGTACACTCACTCGATTCCTAAATTCACAAATTTAATGTGCATTCAAGGATAAAATCTATTCAAGAAATTCTTGATGCATTCAAATGTTTTCAAGGAAGAAATGTATTCTTTATACTAAATCCTCCTGAAACTGCTATGTTATTGCTCACCCTGTTGTTGGTTCAAACCTTGTCCGGGATTCTCTGTATCTGTTTAGTCTTGAAGAAGACAGGCCCCTGAATCCGCAGAGCGCATTCGATCCTGCCCACGGTTGTTTACTGCTTGCCTCTCACTGCAGCAGCTCCAGTGGAGTCCAATGCACCATGTGTAGGAATGGGCATCGTGCCTTGTTATGTATGCCAGCTGCAGAACTCTAATCTCCTAAGTGCTTTATTGAGCCTGCCTGAATAACAAAACATTAAACGATGCAAATGATAATGCCCTGTCCCCAAAGACACCAGCAGAATCCAGCCATAATGGCTTAACAAAATCTCAACTACATTCCTTAAACAAAACAAGTGGAAAAAGACACTCTAAGAACTACCACGGAAGAGTCCCTTATCCTTGTGTCTTAAAATCAAACTTAAATTTGCTCTATCTTTAACAATTTTTGTTGGGCACTGAGGGAGCTACCTATGTACACCATGGACAGAGCTCCAGAGACCTCAGGCCCCAGGCGCACACCGTCCAGCTAGCTGTGTGGTCCTCAGCCAGTCACTCTCCAAGTCAAAAAGTAAAATAAAAAGATGACACCAAATGATCTCACAGTTTCCCTCTGACTCTGACATTCCATGACTTCTCATCTGATAGCTATCACCTTCAGTCATGTGAACCTTCCTTTCAAAATGTATTCCTGGTGGCCAGGCACGGTGGCTCACGCCTATAATACCAGCACTATGGGGAGTCAAGCTAGGAGGATCACTTGAGGTCAGGAGTTTGAGACCATCTTGGCCAACATGGCAAAACCTCATTATCTACTCAAAATCCAAAAAAAAAAATCAGCCAGGCATGCTGACACATGCTTATAATCCCAGCTACTCACAGAAGGCTGAGGCACCAGAATCGCCTGAACCTGGGAGGCAGAGGCTGCAGTGAGCCAAGATCGTGCCACTGCACTCCAGCTGGGTTAAGAGAGTGAGATTCCGTCTTGGGAAAAAAAAATTAGCCAGGCATGGTGGCATGTGCCTATAATCCCAGCTGCTCAGGAGGCTGAGGCAGGACAATCACTTGAACCTGGAAGGCAGAAGTTGCAGTGAGCCAAGATTGTGCCACTGTACTCCAGCTTGGGCAACAGAGCAATACTTATTTTCTCATTTAAAAAAAAAAAAAAAAGGTATTCTTGATGATAGATGTCTTCTCTGATACTTTCCATTCTAGGAGTATCAATTCATTTTTAGAAAATTATTGTACAGTCACAGTAAGCACGGTACTAAGTAAAACCCTGGGACGTGGGTATAACAGTAAGTTAGACCATGAGAGGTACAATAGAGTAAAGAAGAGATAATGAAAACTGAATTAGCCTTAGACACTGAGCGGAGCAGCCTTCCGAAAGGACTGCCTACTAGGAAGAACAGAGCAGCACAGAGAGAAGGGGCAGGCCATGGGTGGGAAATGGGTTGATGTGGCAGTAAAGAGGGACGGGACATGAGCAGAAACCTGGCCCACAGGATGGCAGTGGCCACATCATGACCTTCACGTGAACTACCCCATGACTGTTGTAATTACAGAACCTTCTAAGGAATCTTTAAGAAGCTTCAAAGGCCACCTAATCCGAATTTCCATCCCTTTGGACTACCCAGGCCAGAGACTGACTCAGGTAGAGATCCAGCCTGAATCATTCCTGACAACCATCTCTGCTGCTGGAGAAAACATTAATGGTTCCCTGCCTTTTTGTAACATATTCCTTGCTAGGACCATAAGTGCATGACTTTTGGCAACCAAATGCTTAGGTTTTTCTAAGAGGCTAGCATGAAAGAAATTGTTTTCCGTTTCTTTGAAACTGAAAAAGAGGCATGAAGGTCACAGATATCGAACTGTAAGTTTGAACTTAGGCCTTGCATCAGTTCAAGACTTTTAATCATTATTCGTCAGAGATCAAAGTTCCTGAGAATTGTAATCAAGTAATTAAAATGTACGTGAGATTATGAGAGTGGACGTGACTGGAAAACGCCGTTCGCTGCACACTTACACATACCTCGTTACCCAATGCGAAAATACACTTACTCCTGTTAGTGATAAACTCCATCCTCTAGGTAACTGCTGGGTTTAATTTTGATGAAATTTTAGGTTCTTTGTATGCCTCCTATGGCGTCTGTCTTAGTAAATCATTTCCTGTCTCAGCTTTTTAACCAATACTGGTCAAAATCCAAGAGGTTTGCTGAGAACAATGCTTAGCACAATGTTACAAAAAAGAAAGTATTTAATAACATTTAATATAGGTTCACATTAGAAAAATACTGAGTTCTCATCAATCTTTTTTTTTTTTAATTAAGACAGGGTTTCCCAATATTGGTCAGGCTAGTCTCAAACTCCTGACCTCAGGTGATCCGCCTGCCTCAGCCTCCCAAAATGCTGGGATTACAGGCATGAGCCACCATGCCTTGCTAATCCTTAACTTTTCTATGTGAAATAAGTAATTTCAATTTTTCCAGGCCCTAAAATTTAGAGTCAAATAAGAACATCTCTGTATGTTGTACAGTGAGAAAGAGATACATCAAAAAGTTATAAACTTCAAATCCCACTTCTGATAGACACTTTTTTTTATTACTTAAAAAAATGAAAAATAACAGTTATTAACTTACTAAACTGTGACATCTAAACCTGGCATTGGAGTCTATTTCACTTTCACTTCCATTGATAAAACATTTTGTAGTTAGTAATGGTGAGTCAGTGTTATGAGACACAACCCATAGTTTGCTCACATTAAGACAACTGAGGCCGGGCTCAGTGGCTCAAGCCCATAATCCCGGCACTTTGGGAGGCCCAGACAGGTGGATCACGAGGTCAAGAGATCAAGACCATCCTGGTCAATATGGTGAAGCCCCGTCTCTACTAAAAATACAAAAAATTAGCTGTGCATGGTGGCACACACCTGTAATCCCAGCTACTGAGGAGGCTGAGGCAGGAGAATTGCCTGAACCCAGGGGGCGGAGGTTGCGGTGAGCCGAGATCGCGCCATTGCACTCCAGCCTGGGTAACAAGAGCGAAACTCTGTCTCAAAAAAAAAAAAAAAACGAAAACTGAAATCAGTTGTGTTCAACTTTACAAAGTTGAAAAGCACCGTAATGTAGGAACATTTTTCTTTCAATGTTGCAAGAATAAACCTAACAAAAAAATAGGGATGGGAGTTTTAACTCTGGCTACCACCTCTTCCCAAAATGTCTAGTAGGTTTCTTCCAGTGGTTCCTTTGTCATGAATATCTACTATGTTTGCAAAGCTCCAACTTTCCTATAGAACAAAGGTATATCTACTTTCGTGTGCCATGCTTGAGCAGCATATGAAACAGAACATGTGTCAATACCACAGCATCAACTGCCAACTAAACATTTATGCTTATTTCGGTAGGAACCGTTCTAATCTGCCATAGCATTAGCAGTTTGGGGGCTGCTTGGCTTGTATACATTTTCACTAATTCTAGGAAACATTGCTCGTTGGAGCATATGCTCCACTAGAAAACAGCATCCACCTGTGTTTAGGTTTTCTTCAAGTGAACAGGTTTTCGATAAAATTAGGTCAACACGTATGACTTTGTGTTCTCCTTTGGAAGGTATAAAATCCAAAGTGGTCAGAGGGCTGCCTCTTACCTGGACGCTGGTTAGAGTTGTGTACTGGTAGGCTCTGACAATCACATAATTAGCTTCCACATCTGCTAGTCCCAGCAGGATGTACTTCCACCATTTTCTCTTCAAGATTACTAAAAGGTTATCACTGCCTGGTTGAAGGAAATCTGGGTTAGTACATGTTACTTGCAAATGACATGTATGGTAAGACATGTTGATTTGAATATCAAAGAGTTTCTTGTGTATTTCCCTCTTTTTTCATTCATTCATTCATTCTTTCCTTTTTTTTTTTTTTTTTTTTTTGACAGGGTCTCACTCTGTTGCCCAGGCTGGACTGCAGTGGGGCAATCTAGGCTCACTGCAACCTCTGCCTCCTGGGTTCAAGCCACTCTCCCACCTCAGCCTCCTGAGTAGCTGGGACCACAGGCATATGCCACCATCCCAAGCTAATTATTTTTGTATTTTTAGCAGAGATGGGGTCTCACCACATTGCCCAGGCTTGTCTTCACCTTCTGAGCTCAAGCAATCTGCCTGCCTCAGCCTCTCAAAGTGCTGGGATTACAGGCATGAGCCACCACACCTGGCTACTGTGTATTTCTAACATGTCCCCCCCTGGTTCCCATTCTTCATAACCCAAACTCCTGTAACAGCTCACCAGAGTTAGATATTTTTCTAGTATGAGACCCAATTAAAGTGTCATCATAGACCAAGTGTTCAACAAAAGCAGTAGAATGAGACTCAGAGAAAAGTGGTTAAATCCCCTTTCCTAGCTGGGCATGGTGGTGTGCACCTGTAACCCCACCTACTTAGGAGGTTGAGGTGAGGGTGGAGGACAGCTGGAACCTAGGAGTTCAAGACCAGCTGGGCTTACATAGTGAGACTCCACCTCTTTAGGAAAAACAAGGGGGAGGGCAGGGCAGGAGGAGAGCAGTAAGGAAAAGAGTTAATGCATGCTGGACTTAATACCTAAGTGACAGGTTGGTAGCAAACGGCCATGGCACATGTTTACCTAAGTAACAAACTGGCACATTTTGTACCCCGAAATTTTTTTTAAATTTTTATTTTTTTGAGACAGAGTGTCACTCTGTCACCCAGGCTGGAGTGCAATGGCACACTCTTGGCTCACCGCAACCTCTGCCTCCCAGGTTCAAGCAATTCTCCTGCCTCAGCCTCACAAGTAGCTGGGATCACAGGTGCCTGCCACCATACCTGGCTAATTTTTGTATTTTTAAGTAGAGACAACGTTTCACCATGTTGGTCAGGCTGGTCTTGAACCTCTGACCTCATGATCCATTCACCTCACCCTCCCAAAGTGCTGGGATTATAGGTGTGAGCCACCACACCCAGCTAAAAAATTAATTTTTTAAAAATCCCTTTCCTATTGTAACAGAAATAAAATATCTGGACATGAGCTTGAATGTTGCCATTTCTGACAAGCCACGGACTATCCTAGGAAATGAAATGTTTTCCTAGAAATTAATTGGTTATTTAACTTCTATTCATGGGCTTCTTCAAAGGAAACTCTGCATGTGATCATTCTTTTGGAAGGGATGTGCTTTCAAGTGAAAATTAAGTCCGTGATAAGCTTGAGAAGAGGCTTAGTGGCACACTGAAGAAACACCTTTTATTCCCCCAAATTATATTTATTCAAATTAATTGGTTTCACTACTTTGGAGAATCTAGCAGCACAGGAGATGCAGAGTTGGCACATATATGAGAAGGCTTTATGGCAAGATAACTTGCAAATAAATAAAAGTAGTGAGAATCATAACCAAATAATTATCAGTAAAATCCAATTAGCAGGAACATCTTGAAAACACAGAATGAGGCCAGGCACAGTGGCTCAGACCTGTAATCTCAGCATTTTGAGAGGCTGAGGAGAGAAGATCACTTGAGGTCAGAAGTTCCAGACCAGTCTGGCCAACATAGCGAAACCCCGCCTCTACTAAAACTACAAAAATTAGCTGGGCGTGGTAGCAGGTGCTACTAAGGAGGCTGAGACAGGAGAATCACATGAACCCAGGAGGCGGAGGTTGCAGTGAGCTGACATAGTGCCACTGCACTTCAGCCTGAGGAACAAGAGCAAAACTCCATCTCAGAAAAAAACAAAACAAAAACAGAATTAGTCTTCCTCACCATCAGATGGCATGGAAAGCACCCAACCCCCATCCCGTAGAGACACTAACTGCACTGATATATTTGTGAGTCTCACTGAATTCCCGAAGCCCAAAGCCTTCACAAGGTCCAGGGTTATTAACCATGTACAGTTCCACTCCCAACTTTTTTTTTTTTTTTTTTTTTTTTCCTTTGGAGACAGGGTCTTGCTCTGTCATCCAGCCTTGAGTGCAGTGGTGAGATCTTGGTTCACTGCAACCTCAGCCTCCCAAGTAGTTGGGACTACAGGGACATGCCATCATGCCTGTCTAATTTTTGTATTTTTTGTAGAGAGGGAGCTTTACCATGTTGCCCAGCTGATCTTAAACTCCTGGCCTCAAGCAATCCTCCTACCTCAGCCTCCCAAAGTGCTAGGATTACAGGTGTCAGCCATCATGCCCAGCCCTAAATTTCAATAAAGACCTTTAGATATCTGGTCCATGGGATTAAATAAATTACCGTAATTTCCTAAGTGTGCACAGTGCTGTCCTTCTCCACTGGATTCACTAACCTTTGCGAGGCTTTTTTTTCCTGCTATGTCAGCCATATGATTCAAAAGCAAGTAGTAAACTGAAAATTGGACCTTCAAACCCCTTTACAACAAAGGGTTAAACTAAAGTTTTTACAAAATAATGAAGCTGGTCAGGCACCTGTAATCCCAGCACTCTGGGAGGCCAAGGCAAGCAGATCACTTAAGGTGAGGAGTTCAAGACCCGTCTGGCCAACATGGTGAAACTCCATCTCCACTAAAAATACAAAAATTAGCCAGGTGTGGTGACACATGCCTGTGATTGCTTGGACCCAGGAGGCAGAGGTTGTAGTGAGCCAAGATGGTGCCACTGCACTATACTCCAACCTGGGTGACACAGCAGGCCTCTGCCTCAAAAAAAAAAAAAAAAAAAAGCACATGAAAAAATTAAAGCTGTAGCTACTAGGAGTTTGTGGGGAGGGAAGGAGGAATGAACAGGTGGAGCGGAGGGATTTTTAGGGGAATAGAGCTGTTCTGTTTGGTACTGTAATGGTAAATGTATGCCATTATACGTTTGTTAAAACCCATAAAATGCACAATACCAAGAGTGAACCCTAATGTAAATTACTGACTTTGGTTAATAATAATGTATCTGGCTGGACCCAGTGGCTCACACCTGTAATCTCAGCACTTTGGGAAGCCAAGGCGGGAGGACTGCTTGAATTCAGGAATTCTAGGTCAGCCTGGGCAACATGGTAAAATCCTGTCTCTACAAAAAATACAAAAATTAGCTGGGCACAGTGGCTCATGCCTATAATCCCAGCACTTTGGGAGGCTGCGGGAGGTGGATCACTTGAGGTCAGGAGCATGGTGAGACCCCGTCTGCGCTAAAAATACAAAAGTTAGCTAGACATGGCGGCGCATGCCAGTAGTCCCAGCTACTGAGGAGGCTGAGGCACAAGAATCACTTAAACCCAGCAGGCAGATGTTGCAGTGAGCCAAGATTGTGCCACTGTACTCCAGCCTGGTGACACAGTGAGACTCTGTTTCAAAAAAAGAAAAAAAAAAACAGACACCTGATCTATCCATGCAACTGATATTCCATTTAGCATCTTTATTTAGTTCGAAATAAATATTTTGGAGAGTAAGATTCTTGACTTTAAGTGTTTTTAATATCGACTTAATATTTTAAAGTCTTTTTAAAACTGGGGGGGAACCTAACTTGTAATGACATTTACATTTTTTAGACTGGGCCCAATGGCTCATGCCTGTATTCCTAACACTTTGGGAGGCCAAGGTGGGCAGATCACTTGAGCCCAAGAGTTAGAGACCAGCTGGGGCAACATGGCAAAACCCATCTCTTTTTTTTTTTTTTAAGATGGGGTTTCACTATGATGGCCAGACTGGTCTTGAACTCCCAACCTCAGGTGATCCACCCACCTTAGCCTCCCAAAGTGCTAGGATTACAGGTGTGAGCCACTGCGCCCAGCGGCAAAACCCATCTCTACAAAAAAAAAAAAAAAAAAAAAATGCAAAAATTAGCCAGGTATGGTGGCGCACGCCTGTAGTCCCAGCTAACCAGGGAGGCTGAGGTGAGTGGATCACTTGAGCCTGGGAGGTCAAGGCTCAAGGGAGATGACACTACTGCACTCCAGCCTGGGTGACAGGGTAAGACCCTGTCACTAAAACAAACCAACAACAAAAACCCACACTTTTTGACGACTACTCCGTTACAAACAGTATGGTGCTACTTATTTTAATCAACAATTTCAGAGAATTATACGTAAGTCTCTAGTCACCACTTTCACAGAATTTAGACGTGTTATACTTTTCTAGTCATTTTTATGAAGATTATTTTGTTGAAAAGGTAATTTCCACATTTGACATACCTGATCGAAATGCCAGCATCACTGTATAAATTAGGAACAGCAAGCAATAATTGATAAAGCTCTGAAGCATGGGGGTGTTCACTTTGTATTTTTCTGCCAAATACTGGCTAGTGATAGCTGTCCCACATATACACAAGGACAGCATCTGACCCAGAGCAATTGTTTTCAAAATATGCCTAGAAAATAAAGGAAGAAATCAGAATAGCTTGCAAATAAGTTACACCTTACTTATACACACACACACACACACACACACACACACACACACACAGCCAAACACAAAGAGAAATGCTAACTATTCCAGGTGGTTATTTCATTTTATGAAATAAAAATCATGTTGGATGTTGAAGAACTACATTTTCATCTTTTTGATCTCCTCCATTCCCACAAAGGCATATTCTCCCACTTCAATGAACATCTGTTTAGAGATTATTTTGATTACTCAGCTATGACATATACTTTGCAAAGAGTGTGTGTGTGTGTGTGTGTGTGTGTGCGCGTGACTTTCTTTTTTTTTTTTTTTTTGAGATAAGGTCTTGTTCTATTGCTTAGGCTACAGTGCCATGGTGCAATCGTGGTTCTCTGCAGCCTTGACCTCCCAGACTTAAGCAATCCTCCCACTTCAGCCTCCCAAATAACTGGGACTACAGGCACATGCCACCATAGCTAATTTTTTTTTCTTTTTCACAGAAACGGAGTTCCACTATGTTGCTCAGGCTGGTCTCAAACTCCTAAGCTTAAGGGATCCTCCCAACTCAGCCTCCCTAAGTGCTATGATTTCAAGTGTGAGTCACCAAAAACTTCCTCTCTTCCCTGGAAGAAAGTCTCAGAATCGCAGACCCCTGGCACTAACCCACTTTAATCAAGGAGAGTGGGGCCCAGAAGAGAGTAGTGTTTTGCCTAAGATCACACAGGAGCAGAGTTAATGCCCAAATTTCCTGGCCATTCAACATCTGCTATCCCTCCTATGGCACATAGTCTTGAGATAACAGGTGGATCGTCCCTCACAGTTGGTATCTTCCTACATTCTATATCTCTTTCTTCTTCTCCTTCCCCTCCTTCATCTCTCCATTATGATTTTATAGCAGAGTTTATATTAGAAAACCCCTGCAGGTTGGGAGCGGTGGCTCACACCTGTAATCCTAGCACTTTGGGAGGCTGAGGCAGGCGGATCACTTGAGGTCAGGAGTTCAAAACCGCCCTGACCAACATGGTGAAACCCTGTCTCTACTAAAAATACAAAAATTAGCCGGGCATGGTGGCGGGCGCCTGTAATCCCAGCTACTCAAGAGGCTGAGACAAGAGAATCACTTGAACCTGGGAGGCAGAGGTTGCAGTGAGCCAAGATTGCGCCACTGCACTCCAGCCTGGGCGACAAGAGCAAGACTCCATCTCAAAACAAAACAAAAAGCCCTTCTTCAGAGCATCCCTGCACCTCACCTTGCTGTCAAGAAAGCAGCAGCCTGACCTGATCGCTCTCTTCCCAGCAGTCACTCTGCTTCCCTGTACATCATCGGGGAGTCGGACATCGAAAGTACAAGGCACAGAAACTCTGACCAAGTGGCTGATAACCTAATCAAATTGAGCATATTTTTCACGTCCCATAATGGACTTGAAAACAATTATAAATCTGAAATTAGTGAGAATAAAAAGTGTGGAAGCATTAAGCCCTCTACACAAATTGACAAAATTCCTACAGTAAGCTCATATCTGCATTCTAAAATAGCACAATTAAGCAAGCTGTCCTCCAACTATAAAGTATAACCAGCTTCTAAAAAAAGGAGAGTCACAAATTGAGTCTGGAGATTTAAAGTTACAGGAATGCACTTCTCTTGGCTCCAAATCATAATGACCTCATCTATAATAGAAGAGTCGGAGAGCAAGAGAGAGAGAGAGAGAAGCTGGTGGGGGTGGGAGGGAGGAAATTGAACCAAGGAAGAAAGAAGACACACACACTCCAACTGACGGAGAAAAACACTGACTGCCTCAAAACAATGTTTTTTACTCAGAGCTCCACATTCATGTTTGTATACATTTGTACAAAGTCCCAGTTCGTGTGAATTCTGAACAGAGGAACCCTATACCACAACAAAGCCTGTTCCTGTCTAGGTGAAGCCGGCAGAAGAAACACGCATCTGAGCTTGGGATACATCCTGTCACAGTTCTTCTAACGGAACCTCCGCTAAAATGAACTTCAATGGCAGGATATGATCCAACCCCAAGACAAATTTCCCCAGGGCGGCTTCACACTGGGGAGCCAGGCCGCCAGAATACACAGCAAGCAAGAGTCATGGGTCACTGAGGGCGGGGTGGACAAACGGGTAAGGCCACTTCCAACCACATTACTGTTGGGATCTATTTTATAACTTTAAGAATTTAAGGAATGAGGCTGGGCACAGTGGCTCACGCCTGTAATCCCAACACTTTGGGAGGCTGAGGCAGGCGGATCACTTGAGGTCAGGAGTTTGAGACCAGCCTGGCCAAAATGGTAAAACCTCATGTTTTTCGTAAAAATACAAAAAAATTTAACCTGGTGTGAGGGTGCATGCCTGTAATTCCAGCTACTCAGGAGGCTGAGGCCGGAGAATCGCTTGAACCCGGGAGGCGGAGGTTGCAATTATGCCACTGCCCTGCAGCCTGGGCGACAAAGCAAGACTCTGTCTCAAACAAAAAAAAGAATTTAAGGAATGAAAGAAGAAAAGATCATGAGACACTTTATTTCCCTCCTTCTTTCTTCTAGGAAGCCCAAAGTCTACATCTTAACATCCCTTCCCTTCCTAAGTACATACTTATGCACTTACTTGCTTTCCAATGAAAATATGCTTTTACTCATAGATTCCGTCAGTATGCTCCTCAGTCATGTGTTTACCAAAGTGCAATGGTTGTTAATATGAGCCCAGCACAAGGAATTTAGAATTAAGACTCACCTATTTTCTAGTCCCAGACCCTCTGTCTTCTCCCCAGAATAGATCAGGAAGCTCCCCTGTGTGCCCCCACAAAATATTACACCCTTCTATCTATCATAGCACCCAGCACACCACTTATGGCTGTTCTTTCCCCAGAACTCTAAGCTCCAGGAGGAAAGGGACATGATATTCTCCATGACTAATAGTGCCTGGCAAATAGGGTATTTGCTATTGTTGAACAGCCTCAGGAGTTTTCAGTGTGAGGTGAGGACTCACAACACAAAAGCACGATAAAATGAGAAAGGGTTAAAATAAGAGTTGTGCACGCGGCCAAGCGGGAGGAAAGGTGAAGACGTCCTGGAGAAGGTTCGTGGAGGGTCAGAAACAATCACGTACGTTAAAGGTATTTTGGGAAGACTGAAGAATGGAGGAAAGGCCTGACACAAGCTTTTGCCTAATTCAAACACTAGTTTTACATTATATATATGAGACGCAATGATGGGATGCATTCATTTCGTTAGCTCTTCTTCATTTGCAATTTCAAATTAGACAGACAGTCCTCTACCTGATTAGATATTTTTCAAAAATCACTGGGCTTTAAAAATAACACTAATACCAAGACCCCAGCCCAAAGCAATTGGATCAGATTTTCAAGGGGTAGATCCAAATATCAGCCTATTTTAAGTGTCCTAGATGAGTCCAAGACACAATTGGGGTAGCAAACCACTAAATTACTCTTTCCTTTTCATTTGAAGAAAAAAGAATTCCAAATGATGGATAAGAGGCATTGTTTGAATGCAAATCACGTACTTCCTTCACTTTATATCTCAATAAATCTTTGCTGCTGGGTTCCATGTTGTCAGTTGAAGCAGGATTTCATATTAGTGCTAAGATTCCTATGGAACAGAGCTATTTGGAGATTTTAAAATCCATTACATCTTCCACCTGTAAATACCTGATAATAACTTCCACCTGTCAATACCCGGTAAGAATTTTATAGACATACTGAATAATAACATATGTCTACAAAAATCCTATTATGAACCCAAAAAGAAATATTCATTTAGACCAAGTTCTCACACTCTGCACGTAAGCTACCCAGTTTCTATTCCTAAAGCATTTTAAATTCTATTGGAATCAAGCTTAGAAAAAATTATAAGTAGTTTTTGACCAGGCACTGTGGCTCACATCTGTAATTCCAGCACTTTGGGAAGCAGAGGCTGGTGGATCACTTGAGGCCAGAAGTTTGAGACCAGCTTGGCCAACATGGCAAAACCCCATCTCTACTAAAAATACAAAAATTAGCCAGGTATGGTAGCATGTGCCTTTAGTCCCAGCTACTCAGGAGGCTGAAGCATGAAAATTGCTTGAACCCGGGAGGCGGAGGTTGCAGTGAGCCAAGATGGAGCCACCACAATCCAGCCTGGGCGACACACGACTGTCTCAAAAAAGAGAAAAGGGAACAAAGGAAGGAAGGAAGGGAGGGAGGGAGGGAGGGAGGGAGGGAGGGAGGGAGGGAGGGAGGGAGATATTACAAGTAGCATTTCTTTACATAGTGAGTAGCAGCCAAGATGAACTGTTTTCTTTCCATCTCCACATTCCTATGATTCAAAAGTTTAGCTATTAATACATCATTTAATTCTAGTAAGCATAAGTAGCTTGCAGTTTTGAAGAACCCACATTCTGATAGTCATATTCAAAATTCAAAGTAGCTAAAAAAGCCAAATTTTAAAAAACAGAAAGTTTCGTGGCACATATTATCACCTCAAAAAGAAGACAAGTAGAAGAAAGGATATCAGTGTTTTCTCTTTGCTCACTGGATTATGTCTTACTCGGAATCGGTGCTCAGTAAATGTTTATTAAGTTAACAAATAAACGCTACATTTATTACAGTGGCATCGTGTTAAAATGCAAAGTAGACAAGAGCCCTCAAAAGTGAACTCAATGAATATGACAGTAGAAAAAATACAAGCTCCAGAGTTAGAGAAGACTGGGGTCTGGATTTAAATTTGAAACATGAAAGAGAAGAGAAACAGGTACAGGCAAGTGAAACAATGGTTCACACCATGTCTTGTTCTGGAAAAGGCCAGTAGAGAGAACAGTCTGGACGTGGCTGTCGGGAAAAGATTATCCCTTCTGAACTTAGTAGGAAGAATCCTATTCTTGCCAGGCGTGGTGGCTCACGCCTGTAATCCCAGCACTTTGGGAGGCCAAGGCGGACGGATCACTTGAGGTTGGGAGTTCGAGACCGACCTGACCAACACGGTGAA